TCAGGTGATCCACCCACCTTGGCCTCCCTCCCAAAGTGCTGGGAGTACAGGAGTGAGCCAGTGGGACTTAATGTTTGTTTTTATTCACAAGTTGAATATTACTACCTCTGCCTGCTTCGTTTATTATTATTTTTGGAAATTTACCCACAATCCTTTGAAGCCTTTCTTTTTTCTTTTTGAGATGGAATTTCGCTTTTGTTGCCCAGGCTGGAGTGCAATGGCATGATCTCGGCTCACTTCAACCTCTGCCTCCCAGGTTCAAGTAATTCTCCTGCCTCAGCCTCCCAAGTAGCTGAGATTACAGGCGTGTGCCACCACGCCTGGTTAATTTTGTATTTTTAGTAGAGACCGGGTTTCTCCATGTTGGTCACACTGGTCTCAAACTCCCGACCTCTCACGTGATCTGCCCATCTTGGCCTCCCTAAGTGTTGGGATTACAGGTGTGAGCCACTGACACCTGGCCCCTTTGAAGCTTCTAATCCATAAATCCTGTCATTTTTGACATGGTATCAAGAATGAGCAGGTTTGTATTCAGTAATCTCTAATGTATCATTTAAGTTTTCATTCTAGGATAAAGTTCTGGACCAGGCACCGTAGCTCACACCTGTAATCCCAGCATTTTGAGAGGCTGAGGTGGGCAGATCATGAGGTCAGGAGTTGGAGACCAGCCTGGCCAACATAGTGAAACCCCATCTCTAAAAAAAAAAAAAAAAAAAAATACACACACACACACACACACAGAGTTCTGATGTGGTTTCCCCTCTCAAACTCTGTCTAAATCTGTAGTCCCACTACTCTAGTCTCAGCTACTTGGGAGGTTGAGGCGGGAGGATGGCTTTAGACCAGGAGGTTGAGGCTGCAGTGAACCCAAAAAACAGGCCATTGCACTCCAGCCTGGACAACAGAGACCCTGTTTCAAGGAAAAAAAAAAAGCCACCACATCCATCTTGAAAGATGCAGTTTGGAACATCCATCTGGCATGTGCAAAATATAGTTGGTTTAGTTTTGCTAGTTAGCAGTCAGATAAAGTAGGCCTCTGAGTGCCCTGGGGGTGAGCGCTTTTGTTCCAGGAAGCTGGGCACAGCCTGAGACCCAAGACTTGAACTGGAGAATATGCTGAACCATGCTTAATCCTTTTCTCCCCGAGAAAGAAGGGAAAGCTTTGGCCGGGCATGGTGGCTCATACCTGTAATCCCAGCACTTTGGGAGGCTGAAGTGGCTGGATCATTTGAGGCCAGGAGTTCAAGACCAGCCTGGTCAACATGGAGAAACCCCATCTCTACTAAAAATACAAAAATTAGCTGGGCGTTGTGACACACGCTTGTAATCTCAGCTACTTGGAGGTAGACAGAGGTTGCAGTAAGCTGAGATCACACCATTGCACTCCAGCCTGGAAGACAGAGCGAGTCTGTCTAAAAAAAAAAAAAAAGCAGGGGGAAGCCTCAAACTCACTGTTCACAGTGACCTTGGAGGTAAAAAAATAAATTGTTATTTTGCTGTGTTCTTTGTTGTTCTCTGCCAGCTTTGCCAAGTACCCACATTTAGCTACAGGGGTTCTGGATGGGAAAAGCAGTTGTCCTCCGGCCCAAGCAGATTAGTTTAACTGCAAGTGTTTATTGTAGGTCAATAAAAATAGAAGAGATGCTTTCACTCACATTTAACAAGCAATTTGAGAAAAGGTTTATCTACATCAAAGAATATTTTTCTGGCCGGGCGAAGTGGCTTATGCCTGTAATCCCAGCACTTTGGGAAGCTGTGGTCGGTGAATCGCTTGAGATCAGGAGTTTGAGACCAGCCTGGTTAACATGGTGAAAGCTCATCTCTAAAAAAAAAAAAAATTAGCTGGGCATGGTGGCATGCACCTGTAGTCCCAGCTACTGTGGAGGCTGAGGCATGAGAATCGCTTGAACCTGGGAGGCAGAGTTGCAGTGAGCCGAAATCATACCACTGTACTCCAGCCTGTGTGACAGAGTGAGACTCCTAGTCTTTTTAAAAAAAAAAAAAAAAAAAAAAAAAAGGATATATTTCAGCCTAGCACAGTGGCTCACGCTTCTAATCCCAGCACTTTGGGAGGCCGAGGTGGGCAGATCACATGAGGTCAGGTGTGCAAGACCAGCTTGGCCAACATGATGAAACCCCCCTGCTACAAATACAAAAATGAGCCAGGCGTGGTGGTGGGTGCCTGCAATCCCAGCTACTTGAGAGGCTGAGACAGGAGAATCGCTTGAATCCGGGAGGTAGAGGTTGCAGTGAGCTGAGATTGCACCATTGGATTCCAGCCTGGGTGACAGAGCAAGACTCTGTCTCAAAAAACAAAACAAAACAAAAAGAATATATATTTCTGCTTGGGACTAAATCTATCCTCCCACCCTCAAGCAATCTCTTGTCCACTGAGAGATTAGCCCCCTTCAAAAGACTTTCTTGGCCCCTGAAGAGACCTTGGAGAGTAGGCAGTGCAGTTACAAGTGATAGAGGTAATGGCCAGATAGGTGCTGGATGGCTCACTGTTGCACAGCAAATTAATGTCTGATGTCATGGCAATTGGGATCCCAGCAGCCAGGGGTGATTGGTGGCTGTTTCAATAGTTGCCTCATATCACTGCCAATCTCATCTGATCTGGGAGGAGAAGTTATCCGTTTCTGGCCTGATTGAGGTGAAGCCTCTAGAACAGGTCACCTCCAGGCCTTGGCTGAAGCCCTCGCCTTACAATGCCAGAGCAGGCCTTGGCATTGTCTTGGGGTCAGAGCTGGGTCGGTAAGCGAACTGCTTATCCTATGCTACAGTAGGTTTTTTTTTTAATTGCTGTTTTTGCCACTGCAGATGAGACTCAAAGCAATGAGTCCTGTAGCAACCGGAAAAACAGCTAATGCATCTTGTAAAAGAGCCTGTTAATTCCTGAGAAAACCAATCCCTTTTCTGCCTCCAGCAGTCCAGATCACTGCCATTTCCTGCAGCTGAGTACCTGGAGGCTAGGAAGCCTCAGCCTCTTGGGGTCCCCACAACCCGAATTTAGGATGTTTTCTTTTCTTTCTTTCTTTTTTTTTTTTTTGAGACAGAGTCTCGCTCTGTCACCCAGGCTGGAGTGCTGTGGTGCGATCTTGGCTCATTGCAACCACCGTCTCCTGGGTTTAAGCAGTTCTCCTACCTCAGCCTCCCGAGTAGCTGAGATTACAGGTGTCCGCTACCACACCTGGCTAATGTTTGCATTTTTAGTAGAGACGGGGTTTCACCATGTTGGCCAGGCTGTTCTCGAACTCCTCACCTCAGGTGATCCACCCACCTCCGCCTCTCAAATTGCTGGGATTACAGGCGTGAGCCACCATGCCTGGGTGCATTTAGGATGTTTTCATCCCTACAAAAGGGTAGCTCTTTTGGTACCCACCTTGCAAATAATCCTGGACCAACATAGTGCCTTGTCTCAGCTTTCTCCTTAGGATCACTTGAGGCCAGGAGTTCGAGACCAGCCTGGGCAGTAGACCTAGGCCCCTTCTCCACAAAAAATAAAAATGTTACTGGGCATGGTGGCATGCACCTGTAGTCCCAGCTGTTTGGGAGCCTGAGGTGGGAGGATTACTTGAGCCCAGGAGGCTGGATGAGCTGTGATCATACCACTGCACTCCAGCCTGGGCAGCAGAGTGAAAATCTGTCTCAAAAAAAGTTCTAAAAGTAGAGTTCTGGTTAGGAGGCAGTTGTTTGGAGACAACATGGATAAGAAGGTGAAAATTCAAGAGAAAGACTGTTGTCATGGTGTCATGGGTGTGTGGACCTTGGACAGGCCTGGTACTCAGTCCTGACACTGCCACTTAGTAAATAGTT